AATTCTCCGAGCTGCATCGACCGCATCTTCCTCTGCAGGTGCTCGGACGACACATGGCAACGGCTCTTCTATGATCAATCCGGCACCTTGACTCCTCGTCCCCGCCCACACATACCGGACTGTCATGCCATGCCGCCCGAAAGGTGACGCGACCCATCTCGACCTCATCGCCGTTCCATAAACAGATCTGCCAACACACCAGCAAAGACGATCTTCTCCACCTCAACCCCTTCACATCCAATCGGATCATATCACGGACCGGAGCACAACGCAGCCTAGCACATCACACCGTCCCCACATTTCAGCATGCCTACAGCCGACGTCCTGTCCACCTCCTCCCCATACTTGGGCCACGGAAATGATCCCACAGCGTTCAAGAAAGCATACAACCCAACACACCCGGGCCTCTTGGAGGTTCGGTTTGAAGATGGGGACTTCCAATCTCGCGCAGTAGCCATGAAGGTGAGGCGAATCGTGTGCAAAGGCTATTTACGTGGCTGTCGAGACAGACAGCAGGCTCACGCATTTGCGCTGGTCGTTTTACTGCGGTTTCAGAACTACAAGAAGGGAGAGACCATCGCGGACATGTCTGCTGCGACGCCCTCGGGCTCTGTGCGGTACTCTACAGTGCAGGTCACAGAAAAGGATCACATCGAGCTGAATAGCGAGTGAGTAGCTTTGAGGAATGATACTATTGCTGGGAACGCTCAGACTCTTGGGACTCCCCGCGACTCAGCTTGGTCTTCTGCAATCATTCTTGCGACCCGTCTGTCCGCTTCGACGTCTCAGCACCTGCGCCCCCCAACGTGTCCAAGCCAGGCTCAAGCTGGCGAATTGTAGCCGAGAGGGACATCAGGGAGGGCGAGGCGCTCACCTTCTGTGAGTCCCGGCGGGCCCCAATGGCTCACAACGCATCTTGAGACTGACTTCAAAGCGCCTGACGCGCACCAGTCTACCCTTCAACCGAGTGGGACATGTCACAACCATTCAATTGCACTTGCGATGGAGGGAGCAAATGCCTTGGATATGTGCAAGGAGCAAAGCATCTGGACTCTTCAATCTTGCAGAAATATTTTCTGAATGCTCACATTTTGCGACTCAAGGTCGCTCAGTTGCGAACGCAAAAGAAAGATACAGAAGCTGAGGAGCTAGAGAGGTCAGCTATCCTCTCCTAAGGCATCGCCGCCGAGAAGCGCGATCGCTGCGTCACGTTAGCGCTCGGAATGTTAATCGCAGTCGTAAGGATCTCGCATCTACATGTTTTCGCAGCATACAAAAAGTAGAATCATCGCAGTACAACAGCACTTCAACAGTCGAACAGCGAGCTACGGTGTGTCACTGCGAATGAAACCAGCTTCTGTCGCCGCTGTTGAAGGCCTTGGAAGCTGACCTTTCAGGTGAGTTAGGCGCTGGCTCGGCCGTGCGCTGAAGCACTCCGCGGGATGATTTCAGCATGTCAGACACCGAGCGACGCCTCCGACAATCACGACTCAGACGTTTCGCTGACATTAAACAGTCAAGAGGGAGAGTAGCGTGTACAGTCGACATGGTGTCCAGCTCCCAAGCTAGAGCGGAGAGTCTCTAGGTGGTCCAGGGGTGATCGGCCCATACGCAGCCAAGGCATTGCGAAATGCCGTATGTTGATTCACGACTGCAGAATGCAGTGTCTCCACAATCGAGTGAATGCCACTGGTCTTGTCACCATTGCAGGGGTGCAACTGGACGCTGTATGCTGGACTATACCTACCGCGGTCAATAGCGTCGATTCTAGTCCACGAGGCCAAAACACACGCGAGCTTCCGAGAGGCTGCCAAAGGACGAGCCATCGTGAGCCGAATTTGCTTACGGTAAGTAAGGTGCGCAAGTGGTCAGTGATCATTACCCCTCGGTGCCATTCCCCAAAAGAGAGCATTGCAATCCGGTCCCTGAACGTGTGAGTTCTGAGATAAACAGGGATACGGATCGGAATACTTCTGTCTGCATGGCTGCGGCAAACCAAGGATGAAGAAGTGTTTCGAAGTGCAGTCTGTCGTCAGCGCGAATGAGCGGCGACCGACGTCACATTGACCCCAGAACACCAGGTCAGACATCACGTACCTCAGCCCTCCGGGCAAGCCCAAGATATACACGGATGTGCAAGGGAAGCCACGAGCAATCAAGTGTGCACGCAGCGGCCTTGATCGCTGCAGCGTGCCCAGCACTGGCACGCATATACCTAGATCAGTCATTGGCTCTGCTTGGGCTACACTATTATAGCGCCCAAAGGCTCGTGTCGTGCTGTTTCTGGAGCGAGCAGGAGTACGGAATGACATCACCAACGGCGCAGTCAGGCTTAAGTCTGCGTCTGCGTACGAGTTGCTCTGAATCGAAAAGACGTGCCTCGATTAGGCGACTTGACGGCGAACATCGTGCCGTAGGTAGGCTGCGAGCGAGCAAGGTAGCTATGGAGCTACTCAGACTGTGGACTCGCCAAGCCAGACAACTCGCTCCTTTCGGCGCGAGACAGTCTTGATCGAGACGCTGCTGCGTGCGTTTGGCACATTTCGGCCGATCAGCATCCTCTTGAAAGCGCAAAAGGGGCGTATATGAACACGTCGACCAAACCCCACGGCGCGCCTTCGTACCTCAACATCCCTTCTGCGTCCAATTCTGCCCCCCCTGCTTTTCCTTCTTTCACCCTTCACCTAGCCCCCCACCTTCGCCAGCCGGCTGTCTTTTCGACACCATTCGCTCCATCACAATATCCCTCTCGAGCCTTCAACATCCCAGAGTCCCCCTTCTCTCGCATCCCTTCCGACATGCGTCGCTTTCTCCCGCTCCTCTTTGCACTTCTCGCCGTGCTGCTGGCGCTTACGCTGGCCGCGCCTCACTCTGTCATCGAACCTCGTCGCAAGCACATATTCGACAAGCCGAACAATGACAATTTTCAATCCTTCAGGGACAACCTGCACTGTTTCGCGATGGATGGGCCGACCTGGGTGATGGAAGATTGGGCTCAATTCTTCAACTGGGCAAACACTACGCAGACCGGCAAGCCTCCGCCTCTCCCGCTCGATGTGAGTGTTCTCGCTGACCAAGCAGACGACGGAGTAGCACGCGAAAGATTCGTACCGATCTGACATGTATCGCACGCAGGATCTAAAAATCATCGCTTCGTGCGCCAAAGGCGTCATGTGGGAACAGATTCACAATGGCGTTGGTGATTACGTCGACAATATAGCTACCGCCGCGTTGCCTCTGGCGCTCACTGGACCTTGGGAAAAGCTGGGAGAGTACATCATCAACCATCCAATCAGAGAGGCACTCATCAAAGCGGAGCTGCTGGACGCAGTGGCTGCCGCCTTTGCTGACATTCGTCAGGTCTCGCAGGGCGATGCTTGGTCCGCGGGCATCCGAGGGTGAGTCTTGCGAAACGTCGGCGAGCTTCAGTCCACTTCTTGACTCTCCTTGACCACGCATGCACTGAATGTGTGCGTTGCTTCCCGCAGCTTGAGGGTCGGTGTCAAGGGACAAGAGCTGTCTGCTCGAATCCAAACATATAATCGATATATCGGAGCCATCTGCCACGACTTCGGATGTCCGGATCAAGGGAGCTGATGGTGGTGACTTCAGCGTTCTTTGGCAGCTGCAAGGCTGTCCTTGTCTTGTTTCAAGACTGCTGACCGATCAAGAAAGTGTCTCGTGATACCTAATCTCGACCTGCTGAAGAGATTCGGATACTGCTGCCGACGTCTACGAAATTGAACCATTTGTCGCAGGCAATAGTGATGGAACGAGAACAAGGCCTCAGCGGTTTCGTCTTGATGACCCTGTATTCAGCAAAGGTCGCGAAATTGATGTTCACTGTCACAGGCTTCCGAGGCGATGAGCGTCATGCGCTGTTGCGAAGAGCGCCGCCTTGAAAGTTACCGGGTTGAGGGTCTTGTGTTCGCGAATCTTGAACTTGCTCGGTCCAGAGACCTACACCAAGATTGCCGCCTAGTGTGTTCACATCGGGTTTTTGCTATAGATGATCAAAGAATCCCTGCAGAGGCGCCCTGTCGTGGGTAGATGCGCTCGGTGTCGCATATTCCCCTCAATCGATGACCTTGAGCTTGTGCGCCTTGGCGAAGGTCTCTCTAAGGTATTCTAGGTGCTTTGCGTGAAGAGCCTCTCGCTGTCTGACGCCATTTCCGCTCCAAAGTCTCATTTTGCAGTCGCCTCCTGCGTCCCACACTATCGCATTCGCGGGAATCTTTTGAACAACCTCATCCGGCTTGGGTGCGGCTGCCTGTGAAAAGTTTGTGTCATCTGCTTCGGCGACTCCACCAATACCGTCCATCTCGGCAGTCTCGTTGAGAATGTCGGCGGCTTCTTTGGCGTTGGATTCACCTACGGTCGGATAGCCCATTATCGCGCAAGCAGCTCCGACGGTGACAAAGCTATCCACGATTACGCCTGGACCGACCTTGCACCTGTGCTCAAAGACGCAATTGTTGCCCACACTGAGCGCTTCGATCCTGCAGCCCACTTCGAACAAGTTGTCGTCGCCGATCTTCATCGTTCGGCCTGACCGGTTCACGATGACGCACGTCTCTTCGATGATGATGTTGGAGCCCATGACGATGGCTCCGGAGAGAGCTAGCACTGTACAGCGTGGATGCACCACGGATCCCGATCCGATCGAGATCGTCCCTCGCAGCTCGGCATCTGCAGCGATCGTCACTCGAGAGCCTACTGTCAACTTGTCCACCAATGGCGGCATTATGTGCGAGTATAGCGTTGTGAGCGATGCAATGTGAGCACAGTCTTGAGTCTTTAGCGTCGAAGGTGTGAGGGTGGGTGGAGAAGCGCGCCGTACGAAGCGCATGGGTGCATGCGTGTATGCACTCGGCCGCCTTGCAAGTATCAGAACGCGAGCCGCGCCCCCGCCATGCGCAAAGAAGGAACTCCAGTCAATGCACGCGTCCACGCGGCCCATGCAAATCGAGAAAGTGTTGGGCTGCTGGGCGCCACAACAGATGCGCTTCGATCAGATGCACGCACACGAACTTCTTCGACGACTCGGACTCGTGACTGTTGGAGCACTCAGCACCTACTGGCATCGCTGAATGGCAAGAGGGATTGGAGGGAGTACAAAGATTCGAGCAGGCTTGATCATCGCCAATACCAAACCTTTTCGACTCGCTCCTCGTAATAGCGCAGGTGCGCTCCATCAAGATGCAGGCCACCTCCGCTTCCAGCCTGTTCCAGTCCACCGCATCGCTAGAGATTGGTCTTTCCCGCGCTTCCAAAGCAGCGCGCACATCTGCAGGATCGCAGTACGGCAGTCCGATTTGGCTTGGTCGCAAGCAAGAGGATTTGAACGCTCTGGCCGAAGGAGCCGCCGGAGCTGATGGTGGAGCCGACAAGGTGCTTGCCTTGGAGGTCGAACGGGATGAAGGCGGCGGCGAAGTGGCTGCATGGGTAGCTAGTAGCGGTGGCTTGGTGAGGAGGATCGACTTGGAGGTGAGTAGAGCGTGCAAGATGCGGAATCATGGATGTCGATGTAAGCTCAATGAATCTCCCGATAGACTGGAACGATCACTCATTCACTTCGAGCACACAATGCACCCGTCTCTGGTCTGTGCTTGTACCCCGTTGCGGCTGGCAGACTGCTATTGGTCACGAGCTCTTGGGACAAGTCAATCCGATTCTGGACTGCACCTTCTCGCTTGCGCTCGGCGGCGTCCGCCAGCAAACATGTCAAGGCATCCCTGCAGCAAGTCTTGACGATCAAAGACGCAGGAAGCGACTTCATCAAGGCGCTTCACGTGCTGTCTGCTCGGAACCAGGAGGTACTGCTGAGTGGAGGGAGTGACAAGATCGTCCGAGTCTGGGACCTAGCTCCTCTCAAGGCGTGGGCAGCTTCGTTGCAAGATTCGCAGTGGCTGTCCATTTCTTCGACAGAAACTAGTCACGCACCCCAGCCCGCCATGCTGCACGCCTTTCGGGAACACACCAGGCCGATTACGTGCTTTGCTTCTTTCGCACCCCGGCCGGGACATCATGGTCCATCAAGCGAAGGCAATGCGGCAACATCGCAGCCAATACACCTCGTATATAGCGCCGACAGTATGGGCAAAGTGCTCGAGCTCGAGTTAAGCCTGCAGCGCGAAGGCGCAACTAGCGCCAGACTGGAAGTGAAGAGGGAGCTGGTAGGGAACGAGACTGGCGTGGTAGATTTGAGCGCAGGGTGGGGAGCGGAAGAGGATGAAGATGAAAATGGAGAGGTCAGATGGACGGCTGAGCTTTGGACCGGTGCGTGGCTGATCCTTCGTGCAAGTCTAGTCTGCGAGAGAACATCCACTGATCCGCAATAGTTCTCGCTCTTTCTCGCAGCATCCCACGATAAGATGGCCAGGCTGTGGTTGCCGGACAGCGAGACTGCGGCTTCTGGCTCTGGAGGGCTCAGAGCTGCCGGCAGTAGTAGTCAAAGTGGTCAGGTGCTAGGGCGTCTTGCGCCCCTCAATCCATCCAGAAGGATCGAGCATTCCAGCTATGTCAAGGTGGTCTTACCTTTGGCTCACCTTGCTTCGCATCGCCCCGACCCTTCATCGGAAGCGCTGCGAGATATGCTAGTGACAGGCGAGACAGACGGAGATCTGCGTGTCTGGCACCTCACCTCGCAAGGGTGGGATCAAGCTGATGAGTCAACGGAAGACACTTTGGCTGGGCAGCCCACAACGAGAAGAACGATTCAGGGTGAAGCAGTCCAAGCGGGTCCTGGAGCTAGACTAATACGGACATTGGAAGCGCATTGGCACGAAGTCATCGTCATCCGACCCTGGTGGCGGAATCGCAGGGGACCATTGCCCGATCCAAATCAGGAAGCGACGGAAACGCAAGAGATCAAGGTTGAACCTGCAAAAGCAAATCAAGGCGAATGGTGGCTCATTACAGCTGGGTTAGATGGGAGTGTCAGGAGATGGAGAGTTGCTGGTGAGCTGTAAAGGGCTGTTCGAAACAAGGCACAAGTCTCACTCTGCCCTCTTCGCGCCCGCAAACGCAGACATTGTCACGCCAGCTTCGCCTTTGGAGAAAGCCTCGGACGTGGCCTCGGCGTCTCAGAACCCTTCTTCGATTGAAAAAGGAGCGGCCAAAAAGGCGGACCCCGAAATGACGGAAGAAGAAGAGAGAGAGCTACAAGAATTGATGGACGAGGACTAGTGAAGCCTCTCTCAGTTTGTTGGCTGTTTCAATGCATTGTGAAAAGCTATGCTCATGTGAAGGGTCGCAAGTGTCAGTATAGAGGCGCGCACGTCGCTGCTCGCTGTCTTCTTGAAGTTCAACCTCGTCCTCCCAGATGACCCAGAAGAGATCTGTCTGGTTGAAAGAGCTCTCTGAGTGCTTCATCGATCGCTCTGCAGTGTCCGCTTATTGCCTGGCGCGTTTGATAATCCAGACCGCAGCGCCCGCACCTCTTGGGCGCTGTTGAAGAAACCCAGTCATGGTGCGGTTTGACCGCTGTACCTTTTGAGCAGCTGTTTCCTACCGCGCGTGAAGTCTTGACAATCCACAGAAGGGAAGCGCGCAGCATCCCTTCCAGGGCCATGACTTGTGGTGTACTGCGACCTTCGACTCCCGACCATGCTTTGTCAAGAGATTCAGTGAGCTGTCTTGTAAGCGCCACGGTACGTGCAGCTTCTGTTCCACAGGACTGCGAGAGTCGCGTCAGCTCGCCGGCGTCTGGGGTCCAGTCGTAATTCTGTATCGCGACGCGGTTTGTCAATGACGGCCAAGCAGTTTGTTTTTCCACCAGGCTCATCTTACCATGAAAGATCCTTTGATCGTGAGATAGATGAGTTCTGGATGTCGGATTACTGTAGGGTTGGAAAGGTTTTGAAGAGTGCCTCCTTTGAGATCGAAATTTGCTGCGTAAGCAGTCAAGACTGCCTGGGCAAGCTCGGTGTCCGACATCTGCGTTGATTGAAGATGTGGAGTAAGTAGCTGCTGAATGAGTTTATCGATGCGTCTCAATCGACCTTACGCCGCGAGCAAGATCGTATAGGCTAGGCAATGTGCCTTTTCCAGAGGCGATTTCGGCGGCTTTTCGAGCATCGCGCGTGAGCTTTTCGGAGGAAAGCAGCATTGTGGTAAGTCAGTGACTATCGAGGGCGACCTGTTCGACAAGATTAGCATACTCGCTAAGTATTGGCTTATGTCTGCCACTCCAGAGATGTCGCTCTCTAGCTCTATGTAAATCGGCTGAATCACTGCTGCTCGTCAGAGGCGCACCAGTGCTTTGCGAGACCTCGTGGGGTTGTACGTACGTCCATGGCTTCTGAGGCTTGATTTTGGAAGGGTCCCGCTTCCAGGATGGTACGAAAATATGAGTGCTCCAGCAGCACGACGGCGTGAATAGCCACATTGGGCCTCTGCTCGCGAGGTAGGTCTGAGGGGGGAAGTCTCAGGGCAAAGCTGCAGCGGCAGTACAAGGTTGAGAAGGGCACATACCGAATTTGAGCGTCTGATCTTCTGTGAACACAGGTACGAGAAGAACATTGGGCTTCGGAAATCCCAAGAGGTACAACTTTTGCATCATCCGCCCGCGAAAACCTTGCTGATGTTGACCCAGCATAATTCCGAATGCGTTATACGAAAGCGCCTGGCTACTCTGGGCTTGCTCCGGCTCGGTGTTAGAAGGATCGTGCGGGGCGTACTGAGCTCCAGCAGGCTCTTGGATGTTTGGCAAATCTTGGGCTGCGACATTTCCAGCGCCTGGACTTCCTTCGACGACATTGACGGTGGCATTGTTGTGAACAGATGGACATTGATCGTCAACTTCGTCGTCTCTCTCACGCTTCCTTATGCGTGGACCAGTAGAGGAGTCATTAGACCTGGCAGTCGACGTGCTAAGCTTTGGGGAACCGTCCTCGCCATTGCCAGTCTTCAGCCTACTCCTGGGTCGTGGGAGCGAAGGCATAGCTGCTGCTATCGCGAGAGTGTGGCTCACGCGGGCCTCTGACGGTTCGCGTAAAAAACTTATGGGGTGATTGGTATCAGCACGAAATCCACCGTAGCAGGCACACGGCTGATGAGCTGGCCAACAGGTACCTTGATTGCTCTTCGTGCTGGCCATACAGGAGAGCAGGT